GTTCTATACTAGAACATGTGAATATCGTAGTAGCAGCGCCATTAGTCCGAAAAGCGATTCGCTCGACTCCCGAGGACGACAGACTCGTTTGGGCGTTAGTTTCATGTTAGGAGCGCCATCCTATGTAGCAATCAAGCGGTTTTGATTCACATGGTGTCCCTGGAAGGTTATTGGCCTGTCTAACTAAGGGCGTGTTGCTGCAGTTTGTTTCACTATGATGAAAGCCATCGTCCTCGCAATGCGCTAAAAATATGCATTGCGATCGAAGCGGCAAAAAAGCAGAAAGTCAATACGGCTAAAGTGGATATTGGTAAACGTGAACTATGAGTGCAAGCTTCAATACGTTGAGCCGCCGAAGTCCCTCGAATAAGACGCTCAAGACGCTCCTCGCTTGAAGGCAAGGCAAGGCCCACGACCACAGACTGCGGGTAACGGAGCTCAAATACGAACGACAAAGTGCTAGGTAACTGACTATTGGAGAAAAGATGCAGAAAAACAGTCCGAAGTGCCCTAAATAGGACTCTATGCCGACCCCTACTTGTATGTACGTGTATGCAATGAAGAAAAGGTGCGTTTGGCGAACTTTCACTTGTCGTTATCATAAAGATATCAGCTCTTTTATCGTATCACCTCACTCTCACCATTCGGAATGGAGAGAGATAGCATAGTGGCTACTAGCTAGTAGCTAGCAGCCGGTGGGGGTCGGCATGGGCCTAAGGGGTGCCATGGGCCTAATTGGTCAGCTTCTAGCGGAGTTCTTGCCATTTTCACTTTTGAAGGTAGCACAGCCTCCAGAATCGCCTTCCGGATCATCTGACACATTTGAGAGGTTTGGGACTTGTCGCGGAAAGTGACTGCCAACGTCTAAAGTTGTTACTCAGATGCTGGAGTAAAACTCTGATTTCGATAACTCCTCTAGGCTGGCTTCATGGTGATAGGCACAATGAACTTTCTCCAGGGTACACATTACAAGGAGGACAAAAATCGAATTACCCAGCCGTATCTAGACAACACATGCGAGTTTGCATGCCATGAACGACAATACTTTCTTCAGTAATGGAATTGTTAGCGAAACCCATAGAATAGTAGGAGGATGAGTCATGGCCGCTCTTTAGAAGGCATAATCAAAATGGATTTGTGATGCTATATGAGATATATGATTTCCAAACGCATCTCCTCAATGAAAACTGAACGGGCGAAAAGTTTGCTTATCATGGACTGACCTCTTCCTTGTAAGATCAAGCTCTCTCACTGAGATGGATGGTTGAAAGATACAATATTCATATAAGACGTGTCCTCACGAGCGGATATGGTCCAGCGGTTCGGAAAGTTTCACAACTCCATAACCATGTTACTATTGAACAGTGAAACCCTCAAGATTTCTCACGTCATTCGCGACAGCTAAACTCAATTAGAAGTCATTGCAAGCCCCACTCGAGCCACCATTCGATCATTACACATTCATCTTTCTGACATACTGTTGGATGATGGGAATAGTAGTTCAAATATATTCTCCTCTTCTTTTTATTTCTGTATTAATAAGTACTCTGCGCTTTAAAGAGTCCAGAAGTGATTGATCAGTACAATCTTCGAAGACATCGTTAATGTGAAAGTCTCAGACTGCATTCCACCATAAGAAAGATGTACGCATTGATGCATTTCAATCAATGAGAATTCGAGCACGTAGAATTTTGTGCTGTTCCATTTCAACAACACAACTGTTATTTATTACTTACAGGCCCACCAGACACAAGTCCTCAGAGGCCTAAAGCTCCCGCGATATAAATCTCATGGATAGCTACTTTCTTCTATTATGAAATAGTTAGTTGATAAGCTAATCTCCCAAAGAAGAAAAGCCAACAAAAAAAATTAGAAAAACAACAAAACCAGAGACAAAAGTACTGGGAAGGAAAAAGGTTTATCCAGCCGGTGTCTGAATTTGGGATCTACGGTGCGCACCGTTTTGTGCGTCGAGTTTTGCATTCACGAACTTGCGTCAGACTCGTGCTGTTACCCGGTTCCCCTCGCGAAATGAGTCCCAATTTGAAAGTGGGGGGGGGGGGGGGGGGGGGGGGGGGGGGTTGGGGGGGGGGGGGGGGGGTGTATATACTCCAATGGTAAACTGTTAATAAAGGGAAGGCAGAATTATCCATGCATTAGCATACATGCACCGCAGCCTCCAACTAAGAACGCCCAACTTGAGTGGGCCTCGTCGGGGACATCCTAGCAATCAAGCAGGTCCAACTGAGCAGGCCGGGTTAGAACTATGAATCTTCACAGCGGCTGTGCTCGCTCTCTCGCTCGCATGCTGCAGACAGATGATAAGTGGGACAGCCCTCTTAGCTCTGGGGCGCTTGTAACTACTTGCACAAGGAAGGACGACCAGTCGTACTACTCAGAGCGCCGCAGGGCTGGTCTATTAAATTCGTTTCTGATCCAGATTGCCCGTTAGGCCGCTGTTTTGGATTAGAGCATGGCTGCAGGGTCCTCTAAGCTGAAAACTCCGACAGTAAATTGATTTTATAGCCTGGATTTGAGCACTCTAAGTTTCAAAAGTAGTATTGGTACTATTCGACCATTATTACAATACCCAAAAAGTCTGGAATGAAAGTTTTTCTGAAACTGTGCCTGAACGGGTTATTCGATGCTCTGATCACGGACATCACATTTCTTTTAACGCTGGCGCCATTCGGCTCCAAGGGGTGCCAACTCGGCGCCACCATGTTTCTCATCGAAATTGGTGTAAACCTGCATACTGGGCTATTGGCCTCTCTGTTGTTTGTTGTTTTAGTTTTGCATAGTGGTAAGTTTCCGGCTCATTAGAAAGTCCAAAAGTGATCACATCCAACACGTGGATATATCGTTGATGCAGAAGTTGTGAACTTATTTCACGATCATTAGAGAAGGAAGGATCGAGCATAAAGTGAAGCTGTAGCATTCAGCAACTTCCCTTAGATTTTGGCATGATAACTGCTGTTTAACGGGCGCAGTTTGCGCTCCAAAAGTCATCACAAAAATGCTCAATCATGAGCAAATATCAAGCCCGAGACGGGACTCGAACCCGCTTCTCCCGCTGACCGGGCGAGTGCGCTGCATATTACGCTACAGGGAACACTCTTACCGTCTCAGCTCATATTTTCTTTCGTGCCATAGGCATTGATCTAAGACGGCAAAAAAGGCCCCGACAGCGCAATAGTTAGCGTGCTCGCGCGGTCAGCAGGAGATGAGGGCTCGAGTTCCTTCTGAGGTCTGACTTTTGCCTATAACTCAGCATTCTTGTAATAAGTTCCCACATGATTTGGGTGCCCTCGACATGCTGTTGCCTGTGACGTTTCTCGATGCTGATCGAAAGCAATCAAAATTCATTTTGGGTTTTCGTTACATGCCTTTACAAAGCACAATACGGCCACGCATTGCACACCCCACATAAAATAAATTCTGAATCATTCGTTTTTGTAGTGAACAAAAACAGTTCAGAGTGTTGGAGTGCGTGCTACTGCGAGTGCTGAGGATGTTGAGGTAAACAAGTAATGGAAAATTTATGGCATACATGTATGTGCACAGGGATTGTAATTCGTCTCTACAAATACCTCGGCGTCATTATTAATTCGTCATCTGTTCCCCTTTCTTTCACCGGTGAATCGGCTGACAAAGGCCCGTCCGTGCTCGCACTTTCCACTTCGCTCTTCTGAAAAAAATTGTATATTATTCATCGGTAGAGAAAGGAAAGCGTTGCTTGGAAACTGACTGCCTTTTGTCCTGACGTCACGCTCATTGTACTGACGCCACTGGTGTCGCTAAGCGATGAGGTCGGCCGCGAAGAAGCTGAAGAATAGTTGACTTTAGTTCAATGGCTCTTCCGTGAGATCACTTTTCATTTTTTTGTGCGAATACCGCTTCAGGACAAAGATAAAGCGCCCAAAGGACAAATTTACATTCGGAGTCACAATTTCACAGCTCTCTCATACAAAATCTCCGGCATGTCATTCCGACAAATAGCCAGCACCTCTGGGTCTTTCGTATGTATCTAGTGTGAACTGTGTAATCAATGTCCTGACGTATTCGACGCTAATCTCTCCAGAACCTGGGAGTCCAGGAAATGAATATTTCCTGGCTAAAGTCGTAATTCATTAAGGCTTCTCATGACCTGATCGAAACTCATCAGAGAATCCCTGCAGAAGGAGAGCCATCGCCATTGCGACTTTCCGCTATTCCATAATTAAACTAGCAAATAGGACTTACTATAACGTCTTCTCAGACAGTTGATATTGTCGCAATCAGGCGGTGCGGTTTCAATAGGGATGGAATGTGCCCACCACCCAGTGGTGGTTTTCTTCGTGAACCGATCACACTGGTTGAGCAGGCAACCGAAGGCGGGCTTATTCCGCCCCTCCTGGCACCGCCCTGGCTGATTTTCTGATCAGTCCAACTGCACTGTCATGAATCTTGAGGGCGAACGGTAACGTCTGGCTACATCTACAGCTTCGCAATACGGTGTTCGAAGGTAAACCAAGCCACTGGTAGTTGTTGAGGACTGTCTCGGCTGCTCACATCAGGATTTTTCATGAAATCCAAAAGCGCGCCAAAACTTTCCTCGTCCCAATTTCTCTTTCCTGCGCCGAAATTGTGCAATGTTCATTGGTTGTGGTCGTTTCTTGAAGCCAAAACACTTTCAGGCCTCTGAGGAAGACGACTGTGTTGAAACGTCAGTCCAAACGATAAACGGTCCCAAAAAAATTGTGGTGTCACTATACCTCTCACGACATATACTCCATATTCCAAAGGTGGAGTGGGCGTGCCTCATCTGAATATTACTTAGGATTGGTTTTTGTGGGACATCTCCATTTAGGACAACTGGTCATCCCATTTTTTTCTAGACAACGGATTGATCACAATCGCCGCGGCACGGCAACTATCCCATAGATAGCGCAACTGCCACCCCGTTCGAGTGCAGTCTCTAGCCACGCCCATTTCATCTTTGGGATATATGTATTAGAATCCATGAGGTACATGCACACCTTTTCCGACTTTTCGATTGCTGCTAGCTTTTTGGGTTGAAGGATGAGGCATTTCACCCAACGCCGAGGAAAAGGGCCCTCGCTGTCGGCATAGCAGGTCCTCGATGCCTAGGGCTTCTTCCCACTTCGCCATCAATGGCGTGTTATTAGACGCATGGCATGTTTTGAAACGTAACAAATTGGACTGCAGACCAGCACTGCACTTGCGGCGACTTGAAAAAGGAGTTGGACCGTGAAAGTAGCCTTTTCAAGCGATTGGGAGCTGGTTTACTTCCTCTTACTCTAACCAGTAATTTTTGACACCCCTTCCAGCCGGATTACTCCATGATTACAGTGCAACCACGCCTTCGGAAAATGAAATGGCTAAAAGACGTACCGTGCTGCGGTGCGGATTTCCTCAGTTTGCGGACCATGTCTTTGGTGAAGAGCACCTCCTCGTCGTCACTTGTAGAACTGCATTCGTCTTGCATCGTTAATGTGGGATCAATTGTGTCAAAAGGCACAGATAAACGCACTGAAATGAGAAAATGCTAGGTAGTGATGACTCCGCCGACATAGCATGAATGGTATGGCGTTGATTCACGAATTTTCACTGCAGCTTTACACATTCCAACAAAGGAGCCTCCCCCAATTGTATGCTTTCATTTCGAAGGATCCTTTCTTGGAATAGTTGGAAAGTTAAAGGCACGGTCCGCGATAAGAAGCGTAAAGGTATCGAAACATGGAGGAGAATGTGCCAAACGAATCGTCTGCGAAAAGAAGATGCGGAAGGAAACGTCGGAAACGCCTAAAAAAGAACCCTCCAGCCCCAAACATTTGTATAATAAATAGTTAAATTGCCAAAAGACCGCTGTTGGGACGAGTCCAGTCAGCCGATTCCTTGTAATCACTCCTATGAACCCTTAATGACAAGAAAGCATCCACATCATAATTCTTATCATTCTCAACACATCCGTTTTGGCCA